CTATAGTTGCTGTTCATAAATTATCCGTGATTAAGTATGAGAGCTATCAATCGTGGGGGTATAAATTTGCTTCTGTATACAGCCATGCATACAGAAGCAATTGTCGTGTATCTGAAGGGATCAAAGGTTGCGAGAAACTCTTCCCTGAATCTAAAACAGCACCATCGAAGTATATCTGTGTCTGATCAGCAGTATATAAATATAAAAATGAAGAATGGTAAATATAACTTACAACAAAATTTTCAAGAGAACAACAAAAATTAATAAGAATCAACACTGATACTGTTATTTTTTCTTAACTGTTGCTGACAGTGCCAATCCAGGAAGTTTTGTCTTATTGGAGAGAGAGCAAAAACTGGTATCCAGTATAGGTCATTTATATTCCTGATTTGACTTTATATTGAAAAGATGAAGGAAATATCCTTTATGTAGTTCTCCTAATCCAAATGTTTTCAGACACAGTGACAAAGACATGGGTATAAAATTGTAACTGTCAGTTATTCTGAGACTTTTGATGGTCATAACCATAATTCTTCCACCATTTACGATTTTATCCCTTGACGAATAACATAATTCAATATAAAGTAGTCATCAAAACCTTTCATATCATGTGCTATGTCTGTATATGACAAATCTTTGACATCTTTATCCTGATGAAAACATAAATGGTTATTTAAGACATACAATTTACATCCTACACATATGATTTCACCACATTGATGTAATTTAGGATTGTGTTTCTTTATTTCAAAACCATTTTAACACTGGTAAAAATCATCACAGAAAGATATTACTTATTTATCATTCTTTGATTTATGTTTGTTGTAACATTCTGCAAATTTACAAAATCTGTTACAATCAGTACAAACTATGGGTTGACCATTCGAGCATTCATTACTATAACAAACATTACAATATTCAAAGCAATGGTGTTTATTTAAATGCTCTAATGCCTTGTCACATTCTGAACAGTAATAATTTACCCTGAGGAAACCTTTCATTAAGTTATAAATGATGATCATGGTACAATAGGTAAATGATGTCTGGGCATGAAGAACCATTATATATTACATGGTTGAAATTTTCTGAAGATACTACATGTATTTGAACATTTAGATGATGTTCAAATTTAGAAATGTCTTCTATACCGCATGATAGTTCTGGAACATTAGATGAAGCATGCAAGTCTTTAGCTACACTTCAAGTATCGTCGTCATTGATCACTAATGTATTTATAATTTGGATTTTTTCTCAGTGATGCTAAGGCTAGTATCATAGCCTTATCATAGCAGAGGTAATCATTATCACTTATGACAATAACGATCAAGACTGATGTTTGATAATTTATGTCTGGTGCTGCTACTCGTAATTCCAACATAGTAACTTCAATTTTGAATGAATTGTTTAATGGTATGTCTTTTTTACTTTGATTTATTTTTTGGTGGTAGTTAAAGCCATTTCAGATGAGAAAAGATCCTTATTATGTAAGCATGTATTTATTGGTTTATCCAAACGGTCTGAATAAACATATACCCTTACTTTATCTCTACTGTTCAGGTGTTTCTTTGTATCATCGAGTATGTTTTGAATGTTCTTATTGAGCGTGTCCATGTTTATGAGTCGATGTGTTTTATGATTAAACGATATATTGTGCTTAGTAGGTGCTGCATTATATTTTTTAACTCTCTAACTCTGTCTTCCATGTGAGGACCTTTAACAGATATCTGTTAAAGTCATAGAAAACATATTAATAAAGATATTTTGTAAAGGAATATAATTTCAGATATGTGATATCAGAAAGGAGTTTAGAAAACTTACCTCTCCTTCCATGCTGGGTGATCACTTGACATCTCGGGAAGTTTGTTGATCTTCATCACTAAATGTCTGTAAAAGAAAGAAGTAAATGAAATCATTTTGTATAGAAATTCGTATTAATCAATATAACCGATATGATAACAACTTACAGTAGTCAGAGCTTCAGTTAGAGGCCACAGAAGGAAGTAAATTCCACCTAATTGCTGACATGCACTTCTCTCTAATTCGTTTAAATAATCGCTGTTGATCGATAGTGAGACTATATCCTACATAAATATAACTAGAAGTTATCAAAATAAATCTGTGACAGTACTTATTTCATTTAGTTCAGAAATGTAATCAAAACTCATACTTACATCAGTTGAGTTGTCCATGGTTATCACCAGTAGAACTATAAAATATAGTAATCACATGAATGTTGAATTCAAAGTGATTGTAGACTGGTTGACAGCTGTTTATATATAGATGAGCTACCCGGTTCGACAGTGTATTGCAAAATAGACTTGGCCAACTCAGAACTGACCTTTGTTATGTGTGTCAATGACCCATTCTATGTAGTGTTTCATTTGAATATATAGCTTTACTATTTCAAAATATGTGTCAAAACAATATATTTGGTATAATAATTAGATGTTAGTGTTTACAGAACACCATTCAGCTTTACAAAACATATGTAAATGAATTATTTTGTCAAGTTATATTGATAGCATAAAGTCAAACTAGTGAAAGTGTAAGTTTTAATTAATGTATAATATTTAATAAACGTTTTTTTCTGGATTGTTTGCATATAAATGGTCAGGAAATGAATTAGTGTTAAGCATCCTTTTTAGGACAATTTAAGTGTAAATGGTCAGGAAGTTTGATAAACTAATAAAATAGTGATTTAAACTGATTGTATTAAATATAGTAATGTTGATGAGACACATTGATCAAATTTGTACTGTTTCCATTTTGTGGAACAATGACTTAATCCTCTCTGACATCATGGTTAACTGTAATGGTGGCCTAACAACGCGTCCCAGAAGTGCCATCTGGTGACACTTTGTGGAACTATGACGTCATTGTCTTTTGTAACATCATCATCTCCACCCCATTGCCTTATCAGCGTGCACGTCTGAAGTGGGGCCCTAACTATTACCTCTAATTCAGAATCTCTGTCTAGTGAAGGCTTTGTTGCGTTAATGTAGAAAGATTGTTTATTGCTCTATTTCCATGGTGAACTGGATTCTGTTGTTTATCGAATTAAGATGTTCTATGAAAGATGGAGTAAGTTTCATGTCGAAATTGTTTAGCCATAGGTTTTGTGCAGCAGATTCTATGGTTGCAGCTATGTCAACAGTAAGAAGTGTGCTAGTTGTATAGCAAAGTTTAGTCCTAGGTAAAGAATTTTGTTTTCTGTATCACTTAGTAGTCTCGAACTGAAGTTGTGAACAGTGTTGATAGTCGTAGGATTATCTATCTTTACATTTCATGTAAAGGTTTAAGATGTCCAATGATCTTTTATTCGTGGTGAAAAGTTGTGGAAATTCAGAATATTGTGTTTCAGTTGTCTTGATTAAGGGGTGCTCTTTTCATCTGTTTTCTTCTATATGTAACATTAGGAGTTGTCTCCTGGTATTGTCAAATACTTTTTTTATCTTTCTTGTTCTGACGAAAGTAGTTTCCTTGAATACCAGAAAGTTTGGGATAATGTTCGAATCTCTACAGTGTAGCATGAAGGTCAGATGATTAGTGCAGTGTGCAAGCTTGGTAAGGTTTTTGTTGTAATTGTTGATCTTATTGAAAGAAGCTGGCCCATAACAGCTCTTTAGGTATTTTGATAGCAAGTAAATATACAATACCGTGTAGAGTAATATAAACATAGCTAACATTCACTATTGTCGGATCAAGAAGTTTATATGGAAACAAGTTTTGACATTTTCACGTGTCCTCTTCAATCGAAGTTTTCTTTGTGAGAGAAACACTTACAATTTATTTTATAATAGCTGTTCCAAATCTCTTGAGGACATATGACGTCAGTAAGGGGTTCAGTTTATAGTGATCTTCTGTCATGTTAAAGTTTGGCAATTTTTGAAATAACGAACTTTCTACAGTTCTTTTTTTTGGCATAATTTCTAGTTTTATGTATCATTTTGGCTGATTTTCAGTTAATTGTATGATCATGATTCCTCATGTGAAGAAAAATAGCATTATTTGTTTGACCATTTTAACATCCCTTTTATGTTCTGCGAGTCTTGTATTTAAATTTCTACCCGTTTCACCCACATAAATTTTGTCAAAAGACTGACAGGGGAATATATAGACTCTTTGTTCTTTATTTTGAGGTACAGACATGTTCTATGGTAGAAAGTTCTTAATGGTGTCGGAATATTTATAAACAACATTGAAATTGTTGTTTTTGATTTCTTCATCAAGGATCATATGATGACATATTCTGAAGGCTCTTAGAAACATAGAAGTCATAATAGATGTTTTAACTGTTTTATGGTGGCACGAGAAAAAGTGAATATAGCTTAAAGAGTTTATTGGTTTTCTATAGATTGAGCGGACAACCCCTGTTATTTCTCTAGTTATAAGAATGTCTGAAAATGGAAATGAATCATTCGTTTCATATTTCCCTTTAAACTTGATAGTACTGTGAAGCTTCTTTATCCTCTGGAAAAAGGCTTGAAAATCATTTCTATTATTTGTCAAAACCAAAAATATGTCATCAACGTATCAGAACCAAGATATTTTCTTTGAATTCAGACCTGCTGTAGAAAGTAATTCCCTTTCAAAATACTCCATGAGAATGTTACATAAAATTGAAAATAAAGGGTTTCCCATAGCCATTCCATATTTCTGTCTTAAATATTGTACCATGCATGTAAATACGTTATCATCAACATTATCATTGATAAGGACTCATCCATTCATTTATTAAAACAATGTAGTTTTAAAGTAAGACATGGACGTTTTGTAGTAAACTATCTTAAATGTTTATAATTGCCAATTATGGACTTTACTAAATGGAGTCCTGAATTTTTTACAACATTTTATAGCTTATATTCATGGCAATCTACTATTTTAACATCGCACTGACTGTAATACCTATATAATTTCTGATTATTTGTGGCAGAAGCAAAAACGGGTATACGTTGATTTTTTGTTAACACTAATAATTTTCATTCATGCATTTCTTTCAGCCGTGACGTTGTACCAATTGTGATGGGAGCTCGACCCGAGGATTACCGTAGGAATGCTCCACATCACTCATACATTCACGTGGAGGACTTCGAATCTCCAAAACATCTTGCTGAATACCTACATCGCCTTGAGAAGAATAATACTCTATACAATGAATACTTTCAGTGGAAAGGCACTGGAGAATTCGTGAACACGTACTTCTGGTGCCGTCTATGTGCCCTTCTGCATGCCCCTCCACAGAGCAAAGTTTATAGTGACATTCATACGTGGTGGGCGGGGCCCGGAACATGCACAACAAACACCTGGCGAAATTTAAATGAAAACTTAAAGAAGAGAGATATTGAAAAGTGACGAAATTAATGTTTATATATTTTGTTACTTTTCTGGTTTTTCACTTAATATCGGCACTTGGCAATATACAGACATCAATAAGAGCGTAAACAAGCTGATTGATCTTTTATGAAATGCCATTTTATCTCCACAGTTAATCGTGAAATAAAATAGTTTGTTTCACATTCCAATGTACATATATTATATATATTCATATAAAGTGGTAGAGAAGCATAGATCAGGAAAAGGCTACGAAAACATTTCAAAGTCGCTGATTATCTCTTTGAGTGCAGTGAAGTCCATCATTAAAAAGTGAAATGAGCTTCATACCACCCAATCACTACCCAGATCAGGCCGACCTTCCAAACTAAGCAGCCGAGCAAGCAGGAAACTGGTTAGGGGTACCACTGTGACGCTATTAGTGACTTTGAAAGATTGGCAAAGTTCCATGTCTGAGAGGGGAGTCAGTATTCATATATGGACAATATCCCGGTCTGTATGGGAGAGTGGCAAGAAAGAAGCCATTACTGAAAAAGAATCATATTAAATCTCGAATGAAGTTTGTGACAAAGCAACTAAATGATACTGCAGACATGTGGCAGAAGGTTTTGTGGTCAGATGAGACAAAAATTGAACTTTTTTTTGGTCTAAATTCAAAGCATTACATCTGGTGCAAGCTCAACTCAGCACATCACCCAGTCAACACCATCCCAACTTTGAAGCATGGTGTTGGCAGCATCATGTTATGGGGATGCTTCTCATCAGCAGGGACTGGGAAGCTTGTCAGGATTGAGGAAAAGATGAATGGTGCAAAGCACAGGCGAATCCTAGAGGAAAACCTGCTTTAGTCAGCTAAGAGTCTAAAACTGGGTAAAAAAATCAGCAGCACAATTACTCGAAGTACAAGGTCAAAGCCACACTGGAGTGATTTCAAAAGAAGAAAGTGAATGTCCTGGAGTGGCCCAGTCAAAGTCCTGATTTAAATCCAATATAAAATTTACGGCGAGAATTGAAGACGATCCCCTTAAATGATCCCCAACGAACTTGTCAGAGTTTGGGCAATTTTGCCAGGAATAATGGGAAAACATTACACCATCTCATTCTACAAAGCTGGTAGAGACCAATCCAAAAAGACTCACAGCAGTACACTAACAGTTCTATTTACACATACTCTCTTAGCTCTCAACTGGCCCTGGAATCGGTTATTGTCAGTTCTCACCCTGTTATCTTAGACATTCAAAAATGACGGGCTCAATTTTCTCTGTCATCTGTTTCTATCCAGTTTCTTTGGATACCTGGCCATGTATGTACTCTAGGAAATGAGCATGCTAACACTGCAGCTAAGTCTGTCTACTCTCGTGTTGTCATAGCCATGCCTTTCCCATATATGAATTTTGCTCCTGTGATCAAAGCCTGGCTTCACGCCAGTTGCCAGTCGATTTGGGGTGAGCAACTTCACAACAAGCTTTTCCAAGTCAAACCTACTGTTCTTGATTGGCTGTCGAATTTCCATAAGGATCAATTGGAGGAAGTTGTCTTGACTATGTTACACATTGGTCACAGTTTTTTTAACCATTATTTTCTTTTACGTGGGACTGACCCACCAATATGTGGCCTTTGTGACACTCAGGTCACAATTGCCTACATTTTACTTTCATGCCATCATTACATCTGTGAATGGTGGCACCATTTTAGACATATTTTTATCGGGATTTACCCATTGATATTGGACAGTGCCATTGGTGATAGTGACACTGTCCAACTTGATTATGTTTTAGCAATTGGGGGCCATTGGCCTTTCTACTTCTATTCAGTTTTTACCTAATTTTTGGGCACTGTTTTGCTTTTACATTTTATTGTATTTTACTTGAGGCATTTTTACCAGTTGTTTGATGCAGATAGCCTAGTTGCTTTGCGCCAATAAACACCAAACAACAAAACAACAGTTTAAAAGAAATGTCAAGGAACAGAAATTGACAGTTAATGAAAATGTGGTTTTCACCAACCTGAACAAAAAGTCACTCACAGCCAACTAACTCTTTAACAACGAATAGTGGGATTGTCAGCAGTATACTAGGGTCGTATGAAGCTGGAAGTAAACAAACATGACTTTTACCCAATTTCAACAAGCTCATATAACGTGTCGAGAGGCACTGACCCGCCAACAACACCAGGGGCGTGTTACTATGTGCATGTTGCTAGGTGGTATAATAGGATTATGTCATGTACTCCAGGGGAACGAAAATGCATAAGATTAAGTAACTGTATTCTAAATCAATATGTAAATAAAATATTTTCATGAGGTTTATTTTGTTTCATCATATGATCTACAAACACCACTAGTATATACCTAGTGGCCTTAAAATAACACGACTACAATAATTATAGGCGTGACTCAATCATATTTAAGTAAAGTATGCAATAATGGGATATGGTCAGTTATTGACAATAATTAGAGATAATTATAGTATTCCTAGATCGCACAAATCACTCTGACAGTATCTTCAATTTAAAAAACATTTATTATTCTTTGTACAACAAAGATTTCGATAGCTGACATATATAAAAAGGAACTTCTTAAAAATAACCGTACAGAAATCCCATATTTATCATTTACATATAACTTTATAAATATAACTATATAAATATAAATGTAATGGTTTAGACACGTAAAGAAATTACAGTACTGTCCATCATCTTACAATTTGGGCTGCGTTCTTCAGGTTTATCTGAGGGGTAGAATTTAAATGTAGTTTTTGAGTATGTATGTTTTATTTGGTTTAAATAAATTTATCTATTCATGCACTTTATATAGCTATTGAAAAACATCTTAACTTTCGAATTACACTTATATACGTCTTCCAAGTTGAGAATAAAAATTATAATCCAAAAATGTGAAAAGTTTAACAATGAAGAATGGATTTTGTATGTCACTGAGCTTAACAGTCCGTAAAACAGATTTATTTATTCATGCACTTTACATATCTACATCATTCTATTATTCTAAAAATAAGTACCGTGAATATTAAAGTGGCCATTTTTTCAATAGTTACACAACTACAAACGTGTGGTTTTCTCCAACCTGAACAAAAAATATACAGTGCTTGTCTGTATATAAAAGTTTAAAGAAATAACGGGTGTGTATGTAATTATAGATAAAGAGTCATAGCATTGCCGGTTATTAAAGACGTGGTTGTATGAGCCCACACATAACCAATTATAGAGGAAAAATGAAAAGTTGTGTGTAGGTACAAGTACACTATAAAAAATCAAGAAATTATTTTACTTAAGAGAGAGTTTACAAGTATATGTATACTATCATCAATAAGTAAATAAAACTACCATGCGAGCCAATGAAGCAAATAATGTAGGCATCATTATATAGTCTGACAGAGTAAAAGAAAGAACTACGTCTTGTCGAAAGTCAGACACGAGGGTGCATGTATTTTTATAAAGTATGCTTTTAGCCACTGTATAAAAGAATCTTAAAACCATATTACATTCATTCTGCCTACTGATATATACACCTGGAAAAAAGTTAAGCACCCCCAAATATTTTTCAGGATTGCTTATTGAAAATAAGGTTTA